GAGCCATATGTGTATGTAGTATATGAAAATCAGCATTCCTTAATAAACTCATTTGTATCTCAACAATTATACTGTATTTGTTTCCTTGGTAACAAATATACTACACAGATTCCTTAATAAGATTCTTAATCTGCTAGCAACTTTGTATATTGTCTTGCTTAATAATTGTTTTCTTGAACTGCATATTAGGTCTGGTTATATGACAGTTGATCCATATGCTATTAAAGATAAATCAAAGATAAATTATCTTTGAAAAATGGGATCCTTTCACGGATGAGGATACTTTGATACTGATGGGCACATTGAATGAGAGTATTGTATGGAATATTCCTCAGCAGCCCCATATCCTTCTGTACTTCCAGAAAATATTAAAAGAGTGTTCCTCCAAGCATTGGCTAAAGTGAGACAAACCTGGTCAATGTAAATGTTCATGTGCAGAGAAGTCTTGTTTTGAATTGCTAAGAACTGTTTTAATGTTATATTTTATTGTCCCACCACCCAGGCTTACTGTATATTAGATAAGTGACCATATAATTCCTTTGAAATGAAAAAAATAAATATTAAAATAAAGTAATATAAAATGTGCAGTCTATTTTAGTATCAGTAGATGAGCTGGGCTGAGCTGGAAGGCAAGATTAAACGTGTCATAATTCTGGAGTCATTATGCAGCCACAGGACACCCAATTCTAAGCGCTTGTGAATTTTATTGACCCCAAACTTCGACCGTTAGTTGACCAAATTCTTGTGAAGAGATTATTATCTCAATTATCTTGTAATAATAAAATCTTCTGTGCTTTGAACTCAAGCAATGCTTCTGGTCATTTGCACATGACAATATTTCATATAAAGGTACAAACGTACAGTATGTTTTGTCTATTCATGTATTTTGCTACTGGATCTAAACACCATATGCTACTGGATCTAAACACCATAGCACCATATTACTGCTGTTGCATGTGGTATCACAGTGTGTCATAGAGATTAGGAATCTTATTATAACCTGAACTATTCTTCTGGAAAGTAAATATAAAATGGAAATAATAAAATAATATCTATAATGCAATCTCTTAACCTTATAGGATAAAGGCATGTGAGTGATGGTTTCAATACTCCTGTTTTCTTTTGGAAGAGAAATTAATCTCTTTAAGTATTAAATAAAATCAAATTTTAATAAATGGAAACACATAGAATACTTTTGTTAGACCATATGATGGTAGTGGATCTGCTATAATTGGTGAACATATTAATTTATTGAGGATATTAAAAAATGAATTATTGTGGACAAGCCAATATCATCTGCCTAAGTAACCAATCCTTTTACATAATGCTGACAGCCAAATTAATAAAAAAATTATATGAGCTGTCCAATAAACATGAAAATATATTTTGTTAAATCAATCTTATTTTAAAATAAGAATATTTATGAACTTTAACCATTGATTTATTAGTATAAGATATAATAGCTGTAATTTGATTAAAGAAAACCTAATTGATTGTCCTTACTATAAACATTTTCTTAATTACTTATCAATAAATAATGGCGATTTCAGAGTCAGGAGTAAAACTCTTCTAATTGAAAATCAGTAAAGTAGAAAATCTCTGGATTAAGTAAAAAAAAAAAAAAGCAAATGGGGAAATGTACCAACTTCAGAAAGAATCCAAAAGGTACATTCTCACTGGACTTTAGTCTGGCTTCAGTCTTTTCTCTGTTAAGCAAATACATGTTTTCTTAGCTTTTTGTTGTTTATTTATTTATAAAAATTAGTAAATAAATTATGGCTGTTGGGGGAGATATTAATTCTTTTAAAAAGCTGGTTGTTGTACCTCCCTTTTCATGCTTTTACTTTGTAAATAACATTTCCTATTTGTATATACATTTGAATAGGTGTGTGTATGTATATACACACACACACACACACATACATACATGTATATATATGTATATTGTCAAGCATTGGGAAAATCCGGGGATTCAGGCAGTTCAAATAAGTAGAAAGATATATTGCAAGCTTAAGCTCTCTACAAGAATCTGAACTACTAACAGTCAAGAGAAATTTGCAGGAGATAAAGAGTAGAAGGAATTCAAGGTGGGCTGGACTTAGATGTTTTGTGGGCGTGCAGGGACTGATGCTGCATTTGACCCTCAAGCTCAGCCTGGTCATCTCCTACCTCTATATATGTATATATGTATGTATGCAAGTGCATATATTGTATATCAATGTCTTCAATATCTCATAGGATTTCTCCTCGTCCTCAAATATTTTTTTCCATTGGGTCTGATCTCTTTTCCTCAATCAAAATTAGCTCCAGTGTGCAGGACTAATTCTTCGGTTTTGCTCCTCTTCTGTGTATCATGGATTCAATCATTACATGATCAGTTACTTTCAATTCTGCAACTGATTATTCTCGGTATGAGGTTAGATACTAAATAATAGCCCCCCCTTGTTTCCTCCCCCCACTTCTGACAAATGAAGTTGTCAGTGACAGCAGAGAAGGATTTGTTGGACCTTTGACTTTTGGCAGAGTTAGATTCCCAGCAGATGTCAGGATAATTGAAATCTCCTATTATCACTATTGCATGCCTATTTGAAAGACTAATGCAGAAAGGCCCCATCTGTATCTTTGGCTGTCCAAGTGATCTATAACAAACTCTGACAACTGTATCCCTTCTGTCTTTCTCCTTTTATTCTTAAACAAAATAAACTCCTTTTATTCTTTTCAACAGGATTTCCATGTTTTGATTATTGAATTTCTGTACAAATGCATTTTTTCTTTACATACATTGGAAGCCCCCTCTCTTCCCTTTCTCCTGGTTTATTCCTTTTCTAAATAAATTGTAACCTTCCAGTGCCATATGTCAATCAATTAAAAGTTTTAGTTCTATCGTATGTGTTTTTAATCCAGGACATTTTCAGTTGTCTTTCCATAATTACTTATTGGTTAGAGGCAATATTTCTTCTGTCTACTGATTATGAACTTATAAAATATTTAAGGGAAGGTCTACCACTCCCAAAATGGTTGGTCTATCAACAGGGTCTCTTTCCATTTAATTCATCATAGTTAATGATGATAAAACTATATATAATGCACTTTTCTATTTTACATTTTTCTTGGATCTTTTTTTTTAAATTTTAGTTTTCCATAATTTGCTAGTTTCCAGAAATATCACCCAGTCTTTAAGTGTCCCTTTTGCCACAAATGTAATATGCTACGTCTGCATTATTTTGCTTACGAATGTATTCTGACCTTTCTGTGTTTTAACAAAAAAAGGGTTTTTTTCCCTTCGTTTTACACAGATTTTTCAAATCAGACTGAATAGTAATCCTTTTTTTTATTTCAGATATGAAAAGTATTAACTACCTTATTATAGAATTACTTTGAGGTAAGAGGGTCAGCCTATAAATTTTATAAAATAAAATAAATAAAATAAATATTTCAATATAGTGCTTATTAAGGATCCCAACTGCTCTCGTTTCTGTGTCTGCCCCTCTATTTTTTATTTTTTATTTATCTTTATCTTTAGAGTAGAGAGTAATTGAAAATGAAATTGATCCAAATGTATTGTTTTTATTGTCTTATACAAACTATATTAATGGCCCCATCTAAGCATTCTTTTAATAGTTTTACTGGGTACAAAATTATTTTCTTGGTTTGGGATACAAAGACCTAATCATTTTCCAGAAAAATAAATTGCCTCATTTAAAAACCTTTATGTACTGTTTGTCTAAAAAAATTATATAAAACAGTGGCCCGATATTTCTCAACCATGGCAACTTTAAGATATCTGGACGTCAATTCCCAGAATTCCCCAGCGATCCATGTAGAAATGGCTGAAACAGCCTATTCTTCAGAAAGATCATCACAGATCTCATAAGATCTACTACTTTCACTCATTTTGCAATGATTTCGCGAATAACTGTTCTCCCAGTTTCCCTTATTTACCAATTATTTCAAAAACTGACTCAAAAAGTGTATTGAGCTTTCTCAGGGACATAGATGGTAAAAGTCCTGGCAATAGTTATGTAAATTTTAAAATTATAGCATTATCTTTTTATGTTGATCTTGCACAAATTCAGCTCCAGTCTGTTTGAAATTGTATCTATTTTTCTTCAGTCTCCTGAGCCTACATTGTTCCTTTGAAATCTGCCAATATTCAATATTTGGCTGATGTTGGAGTTTCATTTTTGTTTGTGTGTGATTCTGTGTTAGGAACTCTTTTTTAGTCAATAATAGCTTCTTAATTTAGTTTCTTTCTAATGAATTCAGGTAGTTCTCCAGTTACAACCACAATTGAGCCCAAAATTTATGTTGGTAAGTGAAATATTTAAGTGAATTTGTCCCATTTTATGACTTTTCTTACCATAGTTGTTAAGTGAATCACTGCAGTTGTTAAGTTAGTCATGCGGTTGTTAAGTGAATCCGGCTTCCCTATTGACTTGTAAGAAGGTCGCCGAAGGTGATTACGTGACCCCCTGGGACACAGCAACCATCATAAATACAAGTCAGTTGCCAAGTGTCTGAATTTTGATCACATGACCATGGGAATGCTGCAACGGTTGTAAGAGTGCAAAACAGTCACCAGTCACTGTTTTCGTTGCCGTTGTAACTTTGAATGGTCACTAAATGAACTGTTGTAAGTTGAGAATTACTTGTACTCTGTCCTTCACATTCCATTATTGAGGTAGATTTGTTTAAAGTTCAGAAACTAGCAGCCATTTCTGTTTATATCAATGCTTTTTTTTTTAAAAAAAAAAAAGCCACTTGTCTTCTAGGTACTTCCTCTGCTCTTTTTAAGTTTCTCTAGAGACTTTGTAAAAGGTTCTTTGTTCTCCTCGATCTTTCTTAGTGTTTCTGAATCATGCTTTGTTTTAGCTTTCCAGTTAAGAAAATCCTTACTTCTTGAAATCATAGTCTACCACTCTGCTATATTTCATAAATCAGGATTCATGTGGTCGAAAGTGTTCCAATTTTGCCCTTGATTTATCTTGGGAATAAGTATACTTCGAAATCTCACCATCTCTGCCCCAAGGTAATAAATTTTCTTCACTGTTAAATTAAAACACTATGCACCCGTACTTGACAAGACAGACTACACCAGAGTGAAATTTCCTGCTTTTGCTAATCTTCTCTATTTTCCCCTATTTCATCTATTCCAAGCCACTGCTGAATGGGGTTTTGATGGGGGCTGATTTTTGTGCAACACAGAAGAAGCAAAACGAGTACTGTTCTCACCAAAAGATGGGGAAAAAACATTAGTCAACACAATGCAGCCATAGGAATGGGGGCAGTTTTGGCTGCAAAAGTATTTCTGCCATCATTAGACTCTTCCTTCTATTCCCCCAATCTGTCATAACTTGAGTTGTATCAAGTTTTTTCAAAACTCAGATTAAGTGAATAAGTCAGAGGCAGTACTTTAAGGTTGAACTTCTTTCTTCAATTGGTTTTTTATAGCAACAATTGTTGATTTCCAGATTCCTCTTGTTCTGTTTGGAGGGCAGAAGCTATTTCAGCCTAGGATAAGTTGCTAACAACTGCAAAATTAAAGCTCTCAGAGTATGGCGGGGTGAGCGATCGAATGCTATCATGTGTTTTTTTCCGGTGAGACCAGCCTATCAGGACAACCTGGCCTACCCAAATATGGGACGGAGCATATTGCTTCTGCTATTGCCTTTCAGCCCCAACACAAAAATAGTTTGTCGCGAAAGCGACTGCCTGCGAAGGCTCCTGGATTAGGGCTGAAAGGTGAAAGCAGAAGCAATATGCTCTATCCCGTATTTGGGTAACCAGGTTGCCCTGATAGACTGGTCTCACTAGAAAAAACACTTAATCTCTCCCCTGGTATAGCCAACAAAGCGAGGAGAGCCCATGGCTTAGAGGTTAATACATCTACCTAATATGCAAGTAGCCCGGGTTCGAATCCTAGAAGGGTATGGTTAGCTGATGAGAGCTAAATAGCTTCAAATAGATGTATACTAATCTCCCATTATTTCTTTGTCGTAAATATAAATTCAACACAAAAATAATGCTATCGTGCAATTCTGACATATTAGATCTCTACTGAATCTTCAGTCAGCGCTCCAGATTCAGTCTGGTCCAGAGGTGGTGTTCAGCAGGTTCTGACCTGTTCTGAAGAACCAGTAATGGAAATTTTGAGTAGTTTGGAGAGCCGGCAAATACCACCCCTGACTGGCCTTGCCCCCCATCTATTCTCTGCCTCTCGAGTCCCAGCTGATTGGCTGGGTCTTCTTTTGTTGCCCCGCACAGGAGAACGGAGCTGGAAAGCAGGTTAGTGGGGTGGGGAAGGAATGGGATTTTGCAGTATTCTTCCCCTGCCACACCCACCAAGCCACACCCACCAAGCCACACCCACCAAGCCACACCATGCCCACCAAACCACGCCCACAGAACCAGTAGAAAAACTTTTTGAGTCCCACCACTGGTCTTCCTTTATATGTCCACTGCTACTTCAAGAAGCTAAACTCTTGTAGGTCTTGCATGGTAGCTAAGCAGGGTCAGGAAGATATATGTTTGATTTAAGGAGGTATTGTGAAGAGCTGCAAGATGTGGTTTGCTTAAAGCCTGGTGTATTTTGTAAACTGAAGATCGACCAAATCCAGCCTAACTATGGTTTATTCATATAGATCTATAGCTTGTCCTGAATCAAATTGGATTACAAATATCCTGTTTGGCAAGAGTTAATTCTACAGCTTTTAGGAAATGAAGTTGGTGGAAATCATATTTGTTCATGTACCCATAACGATTCAGAAGAAGTGTGACTCAATACACTTGGTACCTTCTTCAAACCAGAAACACAATTTGTTGTATCTTGTGCATGAAACGTGTGCATGTTTCTAATTTTAAGCTGATTAAAAGCTGTCCATGAGTCATGTTGCATTTCCTTCCTGTCAAAAATCTGTAAGCAATTTCCAACTCATCCAAATATTTTGCAACCGAGTATATTATTAAGTAAGCAATTGAAGCATCCTAATATGCTAATCTGCTGAAAATTAAGATTGGCCACCTTCTGGATATAATCAGAAAGAACTGTCTGGCATAGAAGTATATGAAAATGAAATTCTACTGGCATGAAAAATACTCCATTATGCCAGACGTGAGGTTTGTGAATTACTTATGTATGGAAGAAGTACAGCATTACTGTGCACAGAAATAGATAATTTATAGACAAGGTTGTTATTAAACATAACTTTAATTTACACGAAATGTGTTATTCTTTAATTGGTTCTTTTAAGCAAGCTGCACCTGCTTTAATAAGCACATCATGTTGTTTGTGTGTATTGTATGTTTTTTTTTAAAAAAGAATGCTTAAAATCTGTTTCCCTTGGTTTTTGATTAAAACAAACAGAAACTTTATATAATCATATAAAGATTGTGTTATAGCTTCTGTGTGATTATCCTTTATTAAACAGATTGCTTGTTTAAGAGGTCAGTAATAGTTTGTATTGTTTTCTGATTGGTATGTAATGCCTAGATTTTTTTCCCCACCACTAAAAGTTAGACTTTTCAGTTAATGGGAGTAGAGAGGTGAATAGGGTTATTAAAACCATTCTGAAATTTGTGTTCTTTTTTTTTAATGACAGAACCCTTCCATTTCCAAACACTCTTAACCTACTAATCCATTAAGATTTGCTTACCAGTGGTTCTGACAGCATGTAGACACACTAATCGGGTTAAAGGTTACTATTTGGAAAATGTGGAGTCCTTGCTCAGAAAGTGCCTGATCTGGGGGCTGGGAGAGTAATGGTGAGCTCCCCTAGGGCTACCAGAATAATATCAGGGAGCATTAGATGGAAGAAAAAGAGACAGTTTGGTCTAGTAGTCAAGGCATCAGACTAGAACATGGGAGGCCATGAGTTCAAGTCCTGCCTTAGCCATGAAAGCCAGTCTCTGCTCTCTCCTTCTCTCTCTCTCTCTCTAAGCCCAACCCACCTCACAGGGTTGTTGTTGTGGGGAAAATAGGAGGAGGAAGGTACGTTGGATATGTTTGCCACCTTGAATTATTTGTGAAAATAATAAAGGCGGAATAAAAATAAAGAAGAAATGCCAGAAAAAGACATAACAAACTTTTAGTCACCATTTGTTGGTCGTTCGGGTTCCTGCAGCCCTGAATTTCCTTTGATGGATAGAAAGGAAACAAAGACAAAAGTTTGGGAAGCTATCTGTCCTGAATGCAATGGGATCTCCTGTCTTGGGCAGGAGGTTGGATTAGAAGACCTCCATGGTCCCTTCCAGCCCTGTGATGATGATCAATGGCGGATTAAGGCTCACTGGTGCCCTAAGCACTGACAAATCTTGGTGTCCCTCTCCTTCATACATACATACAAATGAAGCCATAATCTTATCTTTGTGGTGCCCCTTTTGGGCCTGGTGCCCTAAACACATGCTTCATGGTTAATACACCACTGCCTGTGATTCTATAATTCTGTATCCCCAGGTAGCTGGCAACCACTCATTGAAAATGTTTAGTGGGTTACTAACTCATTTTGGATTGAGGAGTTTTGGTGAAAACTTTCTCCATTGGCTGCAATTTTTATTGTACCATGATAGTTTCTATTAGCTGGAGTTTAGAATTGGCTTTTAAATACAGCTTTGATTATGGCATTCTTGAATTTCTTGCTAACAGTTTCAGGTAGGTTTGAAGTGATACAGGGTTACAATTTCGAGCCAGCATGGCTATTGCCAAAATCATCAATCTGCGAAAACTGGTGTGTGTGTGTGTGTGTGTGTATGTGTGTAGTGTATTTCTTTCTGTCATTTTATATTCTCCCTTATTGCTAAAATGAGAGATTCAGAAATTTTAATGTTCCTGTAATTTGGGGCAAAATATCTCCTATGGAACTCGAACTTAAAATGTGAGCATCTGAGTTTTTAGATTGCTCGTATTTCTCTCCACATTTCTACTACAGGCAGTCCTTGATTTTTGACCAGCCATTAAACAACAATTCATGGTTATGATGGTGGTGAAAACTGGCAACTGGCTCACACTTATGATGATTGCAGCATCTTGCAGTCAAATGATCACAATTTTGTGACTTTCCCAGCTGGCTTTCAATAAGGAAAGTGAATGGGGAAAGCCAGATTTGCTTAAGAGCCATGCGATTCACTTAATGACTGTGGGAAAAATGATCGTAAAATTGGATCTGGTCATATGATGACTCACTTCACAACTGAATTGCTTAACTGAAATTTCGATCCCGACTGTGGTTGTAAATGGAAGATCATCAGTACATATTTTGGGCTTTTAGCATACCTAATTAGGAGGCTTCAGCTTGATCTTTTTGTCAATTTATTCTCTAAAGTAAATACAGGTAGTCCTCAACTTACAGCCACAATTGAGCCCAATTATGTTTATGTTGCTAAGCGAGATATTTGTGAAGTGAGTTTTGCCCTGTTTTATGACTTTTCTTCATTTTTTTAATCACTGAATCACTGCTGTTGTTAAATTAGTAACATGGTTGTTAAGTGAATCTGGTTTCCCCATTGACTTTGTTGTCAGAAGGTCGCAAAAGGGGATCACATGACTCTGGGACACTGCAGCTGTCATAAATGTGAGTCAGTTGCCAAGCATCTGAATGAAAATGATGTCACCACCGGGCAGAGGTGGTATTCAGCTGGTTCTGACCAGTTCTGGAGAACCAGTAGCGGACATTTTGAGTAGTTTGGAGAACTGGCAAATGCCACTTCTGACTGGAGATTTTACCGTATCCTTCCCCTGCCACGCCCACCAAGCCACACCCACAGAACTGCTAGTAAAATTTTTTGAATCCCACCACTGCCACTGGGATGCTGCGACAATCATAAGGGTTAAAAAGTTTTCAGTAATGTTGTAACTTCGAACAGTCACTAAGTGAACTGTTGTAAGTCGAGGATTACTTGTACATGGGAACCTTTTTGGAAAAGGGCTACCAAACAAAGTATGGAACATTAAATCTAATGCTGTAGCATCTTCTCTTCTAAAAAGATTCCTCCACCACCACAAGTTTCACCTGTATGTGCATATCTGTTGATATT